GTAGTAGTACTAGAAGTAAAAAGTGAAGTATTATAGGCATCAATGTGAGTTTAGAGAAAGATTCTGAAGATATTACATAATTACACTTGTAGATTACCAAATGTATCTTTAGTACAATGATAGAACAGCAATTAAATCAGCTAAATTGTCTGGCTTAAGGCTCATTAAATTAAATGCAAGCACAATGAAACAGTCCTGCTGAAGTTCTTTTCATTAAGACAGATCTCTCGTTTCAATGCACCATTCATTCAATCACAAAGCACAACTATTCACTGGATCTTATTGTTGTAATACCTTCCATGTATCTCAGATCCACAAATTATTATGTACAAATCATTTATGAACAATCATCAATGTTTCATTTTACTCTATTCAACACTACTCATATATATATATATATATATATATATATATATATATATATATATATATATATATATACACACACACAGCAATAAATGAAACGTCCTCTCACATTCAACTGCTTTTATTTATCCAGCACATTTCTTAACAAGTGTAAATATTTGTATTAACATAAAAACATTCAACAACTGAGACATAAACTAAAAACAGACATTAGATGAACAGAAATGGAATAATATATATATTCAGCGCTTTGCGAAGCTACTTTAAAGGCGCTTTATAAAATAAAGTTTATTATTATTATTATTATAATAATGACCAACGAACCTGAAAAGGAGTAAGCGGTAGAAGATGGATGGATGGATGGATGGATGGAATTATGAGTCCCTGAACAAAGGGGTGGGGTTGGTGTCAATATCAAAAGTAACAGTCAGTATCTGGTGGCCTCCAGCTGCTTTAAGTACTACAGAGCATCTCATCCTCATGGACTGCACCAGCTTTGTCAGTTCTTGCTGTTAGTTACTCCACTCTTCCACTGAGGCATTTACAAGTTCTCCATCACGTTGGGGGACACACACACACACACACACACACACTATTACAAGTCATTTTTCACTACAAGGATGATCAGCTGTCCTTAGTGTCTCCCTGTAGCACTTACTGTCTTAGGCATCTTACATTGCAGACTATTGTGTCTGACTTGTGTCTGACTTATTTGTAATTTTAAACATTGCTGTCAGTGGCTTATAATAAGTCATTTTGACATTTTTCAAATATTCATTCACAAACCATAACTAAGAATCCTTATTCTAAAACATTAAAAGTTAGGAGTTAAATCTACCCTGATGTGTTTGTTTATTTATTATGTAATTAGTCTGAACTGAAAGTTTGTATTTTTAAGTAAAGAAAAATAAATAACAGCAGCAACAACAACAAAAAAACATTATTCAGCCTTACAGTTTATTACGAATAATGATGGCAAAAAATCTTTCATTTCTTATCATTCTTAATAAAGTGCTGTACAATGTCATTATCAGTCATAGCCATAATGCAGCATGACAGTCAGCATTTTGGAGAAAAGTGACACTAATGCTGCAGCATATCGCAAAGGTTGTAATTATAATTGGAGATATTAATTAGAGATATTATGAGGCGATATTAGAGTGTATGAAAATACTTACATGACATTTCTGCCCATGTACAAAGAATTATAAGCAAGAGTTAGAATGAATTATAAATGCAGACTTCATACAAATGCAGACAATCATGTACCATAAACCATATTAGCAAGCAGATATATGCAATGCTATGAACATATAAATTAGGCTGAAGGCTATCATGAACATTAAAGAGAAGCAGTTTGTTTTCCATTCATTTGTCAGTGGGACTATTATAATAGAAGAAAAAGTCAAACATATTGCAGACATCCCAGAATTCAGAAGATTAAATTAATTATCACAGATTCTAAGTAATACTCCTGTGTGAGGACACTTTGGGATTATATAACTTACACAATCAGTTCATGTCCCTTCACTGTGACACAACTGTTGATGCCTTGGGCTAAGAGAGTGAGAAAACCCTACCCTCGTTCTCCTTTCTCTGTCCCTCTTTTTCCTTCTGATTGGTAATCACAGTACTATCCCCCCTTCAGCTTATTACACTGAATTACAAGGTGCTCTCTTTTGATTGCTGTGTCTGCTTCCCAGAGGTAACAAGAGGCCTTGTTGCTTCCTAGACAGCTGCATGCCTCATTGAACAGAATACACATTAAGTAAAGGTGGTCAGGCTGGGCATTTACAATAAATTACTGTACATTGTTGATGTTTTGTTTTTTTGTTGTTGTTGGGTTTTTTTTGTCGACTATGTGGAGACGTGAGGGAGTGCTGACTGCTGCACTGGTGTTTTGTTGTGAGCTACGGAGAGAAAAAGCAGCCTGTATTTGCTGACACAAATCCCCTGAAGACCAAGTGAAAGAATATCTAACCATACTATAGTATACTGTAGGACACAAATTTCAACTTATATTTTAAAAAATCTTCCTGTATTTTTTGTTTGTTTGTTTGTTTGTTTTTTTGCACATGCATCTTGTTATATTACCCAGAAACCAGAAAGCACAGAGTCTCCATCCTGAAGAGTCTTTTGTTTCAGAAAATGTAAAGTTACAGCTCTACCTCTGGCTGTTTCAAAGAGCTGACACTAGAGACTGCTTCAAAACCTCTACATGAATATATCACAGAAAACTATACCATATCAATGATTACACATTTAAAAAAGTGTTATATGCGGTGCGTTCGCCATACAAGTCCCTGTATAAGTTGTTACTATAGAAACAAAAACATATTGGAATAGACACAATATAAATCGGTGATTTGCATTACACCCAGCATTATTGTCAGAGCTGCTGTTGTGGAAAACTTGATCATCAAAACGAATCCTTCTGAATTCAACACGTTAAAGACATCAGTGTTTCTGTAAAGCTGCTTTGAGACAATGTCCATCATAAAAAGGGCTATACAAATCAAATTGAATTGAATTGAATTGAATTGAAAATGTAACAGTTTCTGGACAGTGAACAAACATCTCTTAGTGGAGATTTTTGCAGAACACCAATATTTGATATTTACTGTCTTCTACTGGTTTCATGTAAGCTGTCCTGACCACTGCCAAAAGAGGAGTTTTTCAATTTGGTCTTTTTGGCAAACAAACATAAGGGAACTCTTCAGTTTTAAAGCTGTTTTTTTTTTTCAGTGATCATAATCCGGCTCTTTGTTGTATGGTATGATGTTGGGTCATTGATCGTATTCCAAAGACCTTTATTGTAAAATTGGTCTCACGTCATCTCCCACCTGCCCAGTGACCATAGAGCTAGATGATTATGGAAGGAAGATTGCCCTGATTATAACCATCTTGAGTTTCAGATGTCTGAATTCTGTTTCACTGAAGTATTGAGTGAAGTGAATCTGATATGCAATGCTCACTGGAAAAACTGAAAGGAGTTTGATAGCCTTGATTCCTCCCTCTGAGTTTGTTTAATGGCTGGTAAAATGTAAATGATTTTATTCAAACACATATATCCTGCCAAAAAATTTTATTGGTCTTATCATGTCCAGGTGTTTGTGCCATCTGGACAGGAAATTTCGGCTGAGCTGGTGACACACATGCTATTATATATTTTTATCCTTATTTAACTGTAAATTATCATACTATTACCCTGCTGTCTATAGTGACGTTTGATTAATCTGCTATCAATTCAGTAATGTGGTGATACATAAATGTAAAATGCTGTGCTGTTCCATCACAACTGTACAAACTAGTGTAGATTTCCAGCATTCGACCGTACTATGGCTGATTATATGGTCTATTTAAGCAATTAATGGAAATCTGTGAGACTGTGTGGAGTGTGACGTGGCCATTAGTAGTATTACATGGGGAAGATGGAAAGCAGGATGAAGTAAGGAAGACCAGAGCATTAGAAAGTGCAGTCTTCAGTTTAACAAGGCTTTTTTTATTATTATTATTCTACATGTATTTATAACCACAGGGATGATTTTTCTTTCTACCCCAACAAAAGTTTCTTCTTGTATTTCATTTTAAATGCATTAAGAGAGTGGTAGGAACATGAACTACCAGCTGGTAAGATCTTGCTGGCTCTCTTTGTAGTCATTTCTCTTTCTGTCAGTATCGTACTTTTTTAGTCTTCTCACAAAGTGAGTTAGCACACATCTCTTTGTACTGGACTAACAGATAACATTGTCGTTTCGTGGAGTTTGGGACCAGGTTATGGAAGAGAAGGAATTACATTTGTCATGGAGGTCTTAACATTACAGTATTGGAGTGCCATAAAATGTGTAATAAAAACTTAACAAACTTTAACATCATATTCCAGAGAGAGGACACAGTGGGTGATGGGGAGTGAGAGAGAGAGAAAGAGAGAGAGAGAGAGAGAGAGAGAGAGAGAGAGATTGCTTCCTCTGGGAACCACCTTAGAATTTGTTGTACACTGTCTGTGATTGTAAGTACAGGCATGTGTCCACATTAACCTTTCCTACTGACAACATGCCAGTGCTGATGTCGCTGCATTGTCTGGAACCATTCTATAATTGTAAAGACCCTTGGTTCTCAGTCACCAAAATCTATTCGATTCAAGCACTAACATGTAGCTTGTCTGGAGAACTAACAGGGGATTGCTGCACTGCAAAAATAATAATAATAAATAAATAAATAAATATTTCTATAGATTTGAGTAATTCTGTAGAAATTTACACTAAACAACTGTAAAACAATTACAGCCCTGTGTGTGTGGAGCTTGCATGTTCTCCTACTTTGAGGGTTTCCTCCAGGTACTACACTTTCCCCCTCAAGCCCAAAGGCATGCATTGTAGGTTGATTGCCATTTCCAAATTGTGTTTGAAAGATTGTGAAAATTGTGTGTGCAAGTGTGTGTGAGTGTTCCCTGTGACTCTGTGTACCATAAGCAGTATGCAAAATGGATGGATGGATATTGTAATATCTTACATTGTATAAAAGAACACAGAATCCAGTACACTTGCTCATTTGGCTAAAAACCAAGACTTACCATCAGGATACAAGTGAGCTGATGGTTAAGAGTTTTACACAAGGACCCAACCATCGCAGTCTGGTAATGCCAGGATTTGAACCTACAATCTTCTGGATTTTAACACAAAGCCCTATCCACTGAACCACAGCAACTAGCTCCACCAGCCTGCACTACTTCACTCACTGAATTAACTCAGACCAAAAGATTGCCTTGAAATGGTTAAGCCTTTGAGTTAAAGATCAGAAGACTGTGACTTCAAATCCCAGAACTCCCGATCTGCCATGGTTGGATCCTTGAGTAAGACCTTCAACTCAGTTGTATGCTGCCTGTCACCTTATCAACACCTGAGCAAATAAGCTGAGTTTTCTTCATGACTGCTGTTAAAATAAGATACGAACCAGATACAAGTTGAGTTTCATATTGAGTATGAAAATTGGTGAAATTGTATACTGCATCTGTGAGTTAAGGGTCCAATTATCACTTCCCTGGCAGTTACAATGTATAAAACAAGAGCTATAATTCTTATTAAAATATTAGGGTTAATGCTATACTTTAATATAAATAGTTACAACCAATAAAACAAATATATGTCATTTTGTGATTATCTATTTAGCCATTTATGACTATATTGTTGTGCTATTTTTAGATGCTGAGGGATTTCAGTTTAGAATGGCTGACTTAAAAAAAAAAATCAGAAATGAAACTTGGTTACAAATACCATTACTGTTATGCTACACTCCAGGACCCTGTAAGTAATATCCATCCATCCATCCATCCATTTTCTATACCGCTTATCCTTCTGGGTTACAGGCCCTGTAAGTAATAGCAAAAGTAAAATAGTAATAGGAATGGTGAAAATATGGGCCAATGTTGAAAAGGTTTTCTGCTTTTTTAAAGCAGTACCAGTGTTGGCTCCGTCGTCAGTGTCGGCACTTTGTCAATGGAAATTGAGTAAGATCGAATTTTTCTCACTAGTGGGGTTTGTTCTCAGATTGTTAAACCAATGTATTCCCTATCTTTTATAGAATCTATGTACCATTGAGTTCTTTATAAAGGTGCACAGAGAGAGAGAGAGAGAGAGAGAGAGAGAGAGAGAGAGAGAGACATTTGAAGCAGAAAAATAGCTTGTGTCTGTTTTGACTTTCTTTTGTCTTTACTAAAAAAAAAAAAACAAGCCATTTTGGTGGGCAGCACCTGGTCTCCACACTTTGATATCCAGCAGTCCTCTGTGCAAGTGCCTTTGCGTGTCCGTGTGTGTGTGTGTCCATGTGTGTGATTGCGTATAGGTGGGTGTATAGCCCCAGAATACTGCTCAGATGTGCCAAACAATCTGTCATCAACTGCAAAGCTCCTGCTGTATACACAGTTAGAGCTCAGAGGAGAGTGAAGATGCCCCATCAGAGCTGTGAGAGAAGGATGTCAGAGACCAGGAAGTTTATGCTTACTCAGCACAGAGGTCTTATGGTCAGGTCTAGCTTGATGCCCTTGATACTGTAGCTATAGCTTTTAGCCTTGCACAGTGAAAATTATTCAGTATTACTCCGTGGATGGCAAGGTTCCAGTACGCAGTCAAAGTATTAAAAAAAAAAAAAAAGGTTTCTTTTCATAAACCAAAAGCACACATTTTAAATGGAAATGTAGTCATTACTTTATTGTATGGCTTTGCTGCTGCTTCCTTATCCTGCTTCAATTTGTCCTCATCAGTCATACCAATTAACTTGGTATGGACGGATTATACTGCTCTCTGTGAATGTGTGTGTGTGTGTGTGTGTGTGTCTGTTTCTGCACCAGTGTGTCCACCAATCATTTTCCCCCCTCTGAGCAATAGAAAGATAATATGACAGGTAGAGCTGTATCTTTGGCTTTCATTATGAGTTTTTCCCACAGGCACAGAAATTGCCAGGTGGATTCAGAGAGTATGCGTGACATGTGTGTGCATGTATGTGTTTATAAGTGTGTGTTTGTGTGTTAATCCAAGCAAGCGTGGATGAATATGTATAAGCATGCGCGTGTGTGTGTTTGCGTGTGTTTACTGTGAAACACATATCGTGCCTGTTAATTAGTGCAGCTGACTTCGGCATACGCTAGTGCACCATAATGTCTTTTGTTCGCGCTGCAAAAAATCATTCCCTCAGACCTATATAGGAGTGTGGAAAATACGCTTGTTCATTCTCCACATGTCACAGTCTTATAGAAGAGGCAATTGGGGGTGAAGAATTGCTCTTTAAAAGAGGAATCCATTCCAACGCCAATCTCCTAAGCCCGTGGATAAAGCGCCCTTGCAATTCGAAGCTCTAGTTGCATGGGTTTTATAGGTAGCCTTTCATGTGGAAGTTTCACTGGCTCTCGAGTCACCGTTGGAGCAGGAGATGCCCTCCGGTGTTACATTGATCCCACTCGCACTGAGAGTTATGTATTACCACCAATGTCCTACCACTATTACCATTAAGTACCATTCATTTAGATACCCAGCGTGCCACGTTTTTTTTTAAGGGACCCTTTGTTAAGTGCATGTTTTAGTGCACTCATCTTATCTACCCTTAGCAGGTACTCTCAGGTGTTCAGTCTGTTAGGATACACAAATTGTGTGTCCCTCCCTGTGTTTGCTATGTGTATGTGGTGTACTGAAAGAAAATGAGTTTTAAAATCACGTTCTGTCTTTTCTATGATTTTGAAATGCTGCAATTTTGTGCTATTATGCATTTATTTGAAATAGTCCTAAAGGAATGCTGAGTGAAGAATGGTAAACCCATTCACTCGAAACTCAATTATATATAAAGTATAAGGGCAGTTTGTTCAGGCTGTAGACATTTATGCAAAAGAAATATTTTTTGTAGAAATCTTTTTTCAGTAAAACATGTTACTCTAAATCTGCATAATTTGTCCTTTTAGAGATGCGACTGCTTTTTTAGAGGGCAGAGTTAGCCATTATGTGTGCATGTTGTTTTTTTTTATTTCTGTAGTTTTTCATAGCAATGTAGTTTTGTGTATCTAATCAGGAATGGGACTTTTAGGTAAAGTAGTAGCATTAATTAGTTATTAGCATTAATTGCTTTTTATTGTTTTGGGAAGCTTGATAAAACTTAGTAAATACAGCCTTCATAAGACTTGTTATAGTGTAACAGTTTTGAATTTACATGTACTATATAGACATTTACTGATGGGCTAAAGAAAATGTTATGAAAATGAAAAAAAATATCCTAAAACAGATACAGTGGATTGAGGTTAAGTAAAAAAAATAATGATGGAGTATTTCTTTATGCATGCTGTGTACAAATGTGTCTTTTTATATATGATATTCTATACGTAAAGCTCAGCAAGCTACAGTTTTTTTTTTAATTCTTGTGTGTGTGTGTGTGTGTGTGTGTGTGTGTGTGTGTGTGTGTGTGTGTGTGTGTTTTTAAGTAATTGCATGGGTGTGGTGCGTTAAAATGTGTGTGTGTGTGTGTGTGTGTAAATTAATTCCTGCTTAGGGTTTAGATGACCTAAAGGAAAATTAAGGGAAAGCAGGGCGCTGCAGTTAAAGGCATTTATAATAACAAATTCAAGGTCAGTGTCAGTAAGGAGGGAGAGAATGAAAGTCTGTCTAGGTGTGTGTCTGTGTGTGTGTTGTGTGTGTGTGTGTGTGTGTGTGTGTGTGTGTGTGTGTGTGTGTATGTGTGTGTGTGCGCGCATGTCTTCTAATACCACAAGCCCAGAAGTGAATTACGCAGTGGGAGTCAGCGCTGCACCTGTCGCAGAGACTTCTGCTACTGGGTGATTGGCAAGTCTGCTAAGACATGCATGCAAACAAACCACACACACACACACACACACACACACACACACACACACACACACACACCAACACACACACAACAAACACAAATGAGGAATAGTAAATACACAGGCACATACGCAAATACAACCTCAGAACATTCTTCTTGGAGTTGTGTGTGATGGTGGAGTATATATTCAGAGAACAGCAAATTCAGGGAAACTCAGTAAATCCAGTGCAGGCATCACAAGCATGGCTTCATCATCAGAAATGGCTGACTTTAGATGACAGTTCCCATGCATTCACACTAACAACTGTTAAAATATCTGGCAACAATTCATTTTGAACAACAGCAATCCATGACACTGCAACATGAAGACGAGTGCTAATTAGAGTTTCTCAATTTTATGCAAATTAGTTATGTTATGGTAAACAAATTCAAACGACTGGCTCAAGTAAATTCGATAGACCAATCCTGACTGGATATCCAACATCCCCATGAACTTTACTTCCTACCTCTTTTTAGTCCTTGGTGCCCATAAACAAAGAAAAGCATACACAAGCAGTTTGTTTTCTTCACTTTTATAACAACATTATGGTACCCAATGGAATAAAAGTAACATAAAACGTTATGTAAAAGAGTTTTTGTATAATTTGGCTGCTACCATTTCTTACCAGAACTTAAAAAGGTCACAGAACATTTAGCTGGTTGATTAGTCATCTTACTTGTTAATTACGGTACAAATACTGACTTATATAAATACACCATATATTTCTGTTGTTATGTGCAGCATCAACTCCCTTTGGAAACATTGGTTTGATCCATGCATACAGTATATGGTAATGTGCAGGTCAATTCATCTAGGTTTTTCATTCATTCATCTTCTGTAACCACTTTATCATGGGGTCACATTGGATCTGAATACTAGGCATGAGACAGGAATACTTCCTGGATAGGATGCTAGTCTATTTCTGGGTACTATGCACACACACGTTCACCCACTCATTCACACTTAAGCTCAATTCTACTGAGATAATGTCTACTCATATGTTTTTGTTTTTTTTTAATGTTTTTGGGATGTGGGAGGAAACTAGAGAACCTAGATGAAACCCAAACAGATAAAGGGAGAACATGCACAGAATCTCCACACAGACATTAACCAGAGCTCAGGAACTTGGTGCTGTGAGGCAGCAGTGCTACCTGCTGTGCCACTGTGCTGCCTCATCTAATTTTTTTTTTCTTTTTTACTATAAATGACATTATAATACAGGATTTCTAAACAATACAGTTATATACAGTACGTGGGGGCTACACAGTTTTACCATAGATTCTATGAGATTAATTTAAATTGTAATTCATCAGAATTGCAAGAAGATACGTGGTTACAACTATGC